CAATAGTCTGGAATGTGTATAGGGATTGGACATGTTGGGGGATACCCCTCGGTCTCATTTCTTGCTGGGTATAAACTGGGCTCACGATCTGTCATGTGCTGTCAAGCAAACCGAAATAACTTACGGTACGCAGCGTGCAGGGAACAGCTTGTGTGGCTGGAAGGTCCACACTTTTTTGTGACTGTTTGTCCTTGTATGCGAGGTCACTATACAGTATATACTGTCTCCAATGAGCAGTACATGTATATGTACAGTACGTTTACTGCACGTACATGTACAATACATGTACTTGTACAATATACATATATTATTACATGCATGTACCATCGCATACCATAGACGGAAGTAGGCCTCACGTTTACCTGTAGGATATACACACGAAATTGCTTCTTGTTTGGGCCTTGCATTACCTAGGCCTTAAAAAGCCCCAGTACATGCCATATCTCCACTAAAAGCAAACAGGCCTTGTAAGAATTAGCGAAGAGCGGAAATAATAGTTCTGGCTCCCGAGTGGTTTTCTTCAGAAAATTCGAACGGTAACTTTTAAAAATATCTACAAAATCATGTGACATATCCAAGATTTCAAACATGACTTTTTCGAGAGGAAATTAAAAATTTAAAAACACGTAGGTCTTCGGTGCATTCCACCCTATTATTACAGAAACAAGCTTTTTGCCCATTTAAGCCATAGGCCTATCTATTATTAGTATTAATGGTCTTGAGTAGTAAACTTTATGCATTTATAAATACGATTTATTGTTACTATAAGGATCCTGCACATGGGTCCCTTAAATATACACTTTTTATCTCACAACTGGATGTGGGCAGACAGTGATTTTGTTACTTTTGTCATTTCTATGCCCATCCCTTTGTTGGCATGAATAAAATAATAAGGTAAGTCAAGTTGGTACGTTGAGAATGGAAAATCTTATGAAGGATATTATAAGTGACTTTTTCTTAGTGCTACTGTCAGCATATTGCATATCCAAGTTTTTAGTTTTTCGGCCCTAAAGTTAGTTTGCAAATAAATATCTGCCTGCAAATTGGCAGGGAATATTGAGTTTGGGACCCCTATCATATACGTAAAATTGAAGTTGGTACGTTGAGAATGGAAAATCATCTGAAAGATTATGACTTCTATCCATAGTGGATTTCCCAGTTTTTTGGATATCAGCTAAAAATTGCAGGGGGTATCGTGTATGGTAAGTTCAATGCCCTTACATATAAGACGTCGAAGAGTTGAAAACTGTGTATTACCTATTAATCACTTTAAACAAACATTTTTGTCGGAAAAAATCGGGAAGACGCCTTGCGTAACCAGAACACCTGCTGAGCAAGAGAGCCAAATAAACATGGAGTTCCCCATTCTCTTCTCACTTCTTGGGTTAGAATCCTGTCCATGTGGACTGAGCTTCTAGTCCCCAGAAAACCTAGGTTTTCCTCAGATTGTCTTTTCCATTCCCTCCTTGAAAATATCCGAACATTTTATCTTCGGCTTTCTACAGGTTTCGGGAGACTTGTGGGAGGCTCTGCTTGTGTTGTTGAACACTTCGTTTTAATTTATGAACCTTTCCTTGTTAACTGTCACGCACTTATGTCTACGTGGCGTTTTCTTCAAAACAAAGGCATTGTTATTTGCTTTTTTAAAGATACAACAGGGCATGGCCGTACCAAAGTGGTTTATGTGGTGTCGTGCAATCTGTATAGGCCTATATTAGTGAAACGTTTATTTTGTGATCTGCAATGAATGTTTGGTTTCAACTCCTCCGGAACACTTCTGGTTATGTATTGGACGCAGGATATTGAAGCGCAACTGTATGCTGCCTGAAGCGTTTTGGAGTTTGTCAGTTTTATCGGTTTGTTGTGGGCGGGGATGGATGGGGGTGTCATTAGAACCAGTAGTGTTATCCCGACACTTCATTTCTTGAATCTAGGACGACATAGCGACGTCTTTGGCCTGCGGTGAAAGGTGAAGAACTTAGTCCCAACTTGCTTTTATTACTGGCATTATGCAACAAGTTCCATGGCCACTACATGACATATACCGGGCACGAAATGGGACAGAGGGATAACCCTCCCCCCAACAAGTCCAATCCCTATACACACTCCAGCCTATTGCCACTTAACACATCCCCCTAGATGTCTGAGAAGAACTCCTGAGATACCAGTATAACAATGACCAACACAAAGGTGGGGGCTCTCTCTGTTCCATAGTTTGCTTCATATGACATGACACGTTGCGCGACGGGGCCAGTTTTCAAGAAGTGTTTACTTACAGATAAAAACAGAATCCCTTAAACCTTTGACCAATGTCACGTTTTATTCACCATCGTGCACTTTACAATAAGCACAAGAAGGCAACCATGAGTAACGTAATCTGAATTATTTTTACTCGTGTGTAAACAGGCGAGGCTGGAAATCTGTTTGTGCCATCCTGGCACTGACACAAGTGTAAGCGTTGAACGTAACAGCGATAATTAAGAAACCAGTCCACGAGAAACAGGTGAGCTTATTCAAAGAGAATTAAGGAACACCTTTTGTGGTTCAAACTCTACATGGTGGTATCATAGTCCGGTAGCCGTTTTAAAGCTCTGCTAACTATGGAGTATTTGACTTTTAATCTCTAGTTCTTAAAACCTTGTTTGTACGCTATAATACCAAGAAGTAGTGACTTTGGTTGCTGTTGTACGGCCTGGAACACGAGCATTGTCGATAACAGATTCAACCGCTGTGTAGTTACTTCTGCAGACAATGTTACTATTGATTGATTGCATTAGGCATGACAGCCTATTATCAACAAAACCACCTGGGTTGTATAATTCGCTGACCGAAATCAAAGATTGACCTTTTAAAGTCTGATTCATACTTCAGGCAAATCATGAAAGCGAAACAAATTTGACGTCACGACAAATTTGCAGAAACATTTCGCTGGAGTTGAAATGTGTTCTACTGTTGCGAATTTGGACCTGCAGGATTTGATCTGACGTCACATATTTGCGTTTATTTTCGCTTTTGCGCCAAGTATGAACCGGTTAGCCTACAGCGGCGTAACTACCGGGGGGAACAAGGGCGGATCCAAAAGTGAATAATTGGGGGGAGGCGTCTTTCAGGGGCCTAAAATTGAAATTTTCACAATCTTCTATGTCTTCATTGTGGGCTCTTAACGCGCTTGTGGAAGTTTAAAGGAAAAGAAATAAACAAAACACTTATATTTAAAAATGGTCCTTTCGGGAGACATGCCCCCCTCCCCGGGTCCGCCCTGGGGGGACAAACAGCAGATGTCTGTGCCCCTTGATTGCCCTGTCCCCACTTGAAATTTTGAATACACATCTGCAGGATGCCGTTGAGGGTTCTTCGTGGAATTCCTGTACCATGGCGGGTGCGTGATGATAGCAGTCTTCAGGGTGTGTTAGATCTAGAAGTCCGAGAAGACGACATCTTCGTCATCTCGTACCCAAAGTCAGGTACCCCTAGCAGTTATCTCATTTATTGAAAAAAAAAAACAATGTTCATTTGCAAAGTTGAATTGCGAGCAGAACGTTTTTATCATTAACTTCCGTCTTCATCGAAATCGTGACCAACATCATCGTCACAATCAATAAAAATACATGTAGGATGCAGACTTTCTCTACAATTTTTCTTTGTGTTTATAAGAAATACAGGTTTATTATTTTCGTTACGCGAGTCTAACAGATTTTGAGGGGTAACTGTACTAAATCAAATAGATTTTGAGGGGTTTACCTGTTTAACAAAATATAGTGATATGGTCAGAAGAAGAGAAAACGGTAATTGAGTTTGCTCAAAGAATTGAAAGAAATGCCGATGCTCTTTACAGCCAGTTAAGACTATAGACACTGTCCACCATCGTCTGTGTCACTGTTTATACTTGGCAGGCACTGTATGGCTACAGAAAATTGTCAGTTGCATACTTGGATGTGGCGAGGACCAAACCAACGTCAACCTGGGGCTTGAATTGAGCTTGGGTAGTGGCGGATCTGAAGAAGAAATACGTGCAGCTCCCCCGGTGTATAAAGTAGTTGAAACCTGGACCTCTCCCAGGGTTATGATCACGCATCTCTTGCCCCGTCTGCTCCCGGCTCAGTTACTTGCGAAGAAGGCCAAGGTAACAAAGATGCACCCCGAAACGTCTCGGGTCAGCTTGGACCCAGAATCAATGTCTCGATCGAACCGTTCCTCTTCCTCGACAAAAGATGTCCCTTTTCAGATCAAAAGATGACCCTTTCAAGGTCAAAGTGACCCTGAAAATTGGTCAGGCCCAAACAAAACCCAGATTCCTTGTCAATCTGGGTGGGAGTTTTTAGAGTGTATTGCCTTGGGTGGGAATAATGTTAGTTTTGTGATTTTAAAGGACCAAAATCTCGCCTTTTAAAGTTTGTATCTCTTTACAGATGCTTTCTTTATTATAGTAACATGTTTCCACAATGGGGTAAAAAATAAATACTATCGACGCATACTGTCTTGTTTTCTTAGAAAACTTTTAACTTTTTCTTTAAATGTTCTAATGCCATTTTTAAAGGGATGTCTCATGTCTACCAGAGTGACGCTCTCCTCCCCTGTGTTTTGCTTCAGATGCTGTATATTGCCCGCAACCCTAAGGACGTTGTGGTGTCGTACTCGCATTTCACCAGCGCAGTGAAGGCGCCAGAGCCCTTCCCGCAGTGGGAGGAGTTTGTCCCAGCATTCCTGGAGGGGAACAGTTGAGACATGATTTGATCTGTCAACATTGGCTTGATTTGTGAGAGGGTGGGAGGGGGAGTAGCGTGATGCGTTATTCACAGCATGATTATTACTGACACTTACTGAAATCATGGTAGAAACCTTTTATGTGAATATTCTAATCAAATGAACTGTCTTTCTTTTATTCAAAGTGCCTTATGGCTCCTGGTTTACCCACGTCAAGCAGTACTGGGAGATGAGGCATCATGAGAACTTTCTGTTTCTCAAGTATGAAGATCTCAAAAAGGTACACATTGCATCTCACAGAGGATAATTTGAGAAATTCTCCTGAATGCAACAATTTACAATGTGTGATTCTCCTCCAAATTCCTGTTTTATTCTTAGTTTTCTGTTGAATTGTCCAAGTGTAAAATTTGCAAGCACACATTCATGTTACACATTTAATATATTCATGTCGTGGCTTTGTGCAAAGAACATGTGGTTATCTTTTTCAGTTCTACTCAAACCAACAAAGGCTAAACCAACAAAGCCGAGGATAGCTTTCCAGCGGCCACACAGGACTGTACACATTTGTGATGGGACACTGAAAGCCGATATGCTTGGGATTGTATAGAAGTTGTGTACATTTTAATACATGTGTCAAAATTAATGGGTGGCATGGGGGTGGGGTGTGGACCTCCACTGTGGGAAGGGGAGGAGTGGACCACTCTGCCTCCCCCGTATTTAAGTCACTGAGGTGGTGTTTCAACTACGGTCACGTAACTGCACATCTCTGTTTCCCGTGGGCACAGTAATTGTTATGTCATATTTCTTACATTAATTTGAAAGAGTATAATTGGCCCTTCCTGGAGGTGCATTTTGTTTGAACATCATCAATCCGAAACATTATTTTACAGGACGAACACGCTGTCATCCATCAAGTTGGAAGATATCTGGGGCAGAACCTCGATGCGCAGAAAATCAAAGAGATCTCCGATCACTGTTCAATAGATAGCATGCGCAAAAAGTTCAGCGAAAAGAAGCAGGCAATCACCATGTTCATGGACGAAACAAAATCGCCGTTCGTGAGAAAAGGTAAGAAATAATTGCTGCAGTTTTGGGTCTTGAGGTTTAAGTACACGTAAAAATACATGCACTGGTGTTATCTGAAAGTGCCGATTGGGTGTTCATTTTAAATTTCCTTCATGTGCAGGGAAGGTTGGCGACTGGCGGGAGCGCTTGACTACAGCACAAAGCCAACAGTTTGACCAGCTATACGAGGAACATCTTGGTGGGAGTGGTCTAACATTTGATTACTAGAGCGATTCAAAGAAACGTCATTGAAGTACATTAACATTACACCCACTTGCTTTTTCTTTAAAGGTGCAGCCTATCAGTTGCACTTAGGCAAAAGTAGCTGAGAAAGTTATTGGTGAAAACATATTGGTTTAAACATAGTTTATAGGATTAAACTCCTTGTGAAATTATTGTGTGGCAAGTGTCCAAAAAGTGCTTTTTGAAATTACCATAAGAAGCGCGAGCAAGAGTTGACAACAACACATGCGCTCGCAATACGGGCGTTTCACAGTAGTGCACCTCCAAGAGTTTCCAACGCGTTGGCCAATCACAGTGCACGAAATCTGTCACCCAATGCGTGCTTGGAAATGGTCGACAAATTTCGCGCGTTGTGATTGGCCAACGCGTTGCAAATTCTTGGAGGCGCTCTATTGTGAATCGCCCGTATTACCGGTATTCGTCTGCTCAGTGTATGACATCGCGTACGTGTGGCTGCATGCGACTGAACCCGAGAACCTGTCCCAGACGCCGAATTCAGGTGCAATTGAAAACATGACTCAAGACGTCTTGATCTAAAATGGAAATTTAGAGTCGAAATGTACATTATTCACTGACCTGAAACTGCATCAGCGAAATTTGTTGCCAAGCAGCCTTCCTTAGATTTCTAGTGGTTTTGTTGCCTGGAGAGAAAAGAATGCCCTAATGGCAATGATGGACTGCATCTTTAACTTCAGAGGCAAGTACACGTGGCAAATTACCAATTGGTTAAGAAGGCATGCAAAGCACGGATATCACGTGCGTGCGAGCGATTTAATTACCGGTGACGTCTGGTTCTGAATATCACCAGATCAGTTTATTTATGTCTAATATTTGTGCATGTTTATGCATTACATGCCCAATTATGTTTACTCAAACGTCGTCAGGTACCCTGAAGAAGGTCATAAATTTGAACATGGGACAAAAGGTCAAATCCAGACTTTTCGGGAAATTGATAGAGCACTGAAATATCTGTCATTTGGTATAAATGTTGCCTGAAGGTGCTACTTAACAGAATGAACATTGCAGGAGATGGTTCTTCATTACTTTAAGTGCCAGGAATAAGGACGTTAAAATGTAGTACTAATGTAACAGGAACTGCACGAGCGTTCCACTCAAGTGTGGATACGTGGGACTTACTCCTTTCAAAGAGACTGAGAAACATTAAAAAGCGAAATGAAGTACATCATTAGTTTTCATTTTTAATCCTGCAAGAATATAATCCTTGAACTCGTGTAAAGGCCAATCAGTACATAATTATTTCCCCAGTGTGAATGTAAATTTGTAATACCGTCTTTTTTATCCAGCCTTTTTAATTCTCGTACCAAAGGATAAAGACACGTACCAGAAATATTTTGAATAGAAGGTTCAGTGTAAGTGCAGAAGCTAAAGCATGTTTTTCAAATCTGTAAACATAAGCGTATTGATAGCGCCGTTGTATTTGATATTTTCGTGAAATTGTAGAATGCATATGCATATATCATATTTTATCAATTGTTTATTCTTAATCTTATCAAACCAAAGATGTGACTGTATCGTAAACATAAGTACACTTTAAACACTAAGGCGAACACGTTGAAAGTTTGAAACGACTGCCAAGCATATTTAATCGTATATTGTGTTTGATAAAATTCATCTCGAGGAAGAAGGTCCTCTTCTGTGCACAATGGCAGGAAATACAAATGCAACGAGGATTCGATAAAAAAACCCGTCAACCAACTACCGGTAGGCCTACCGTTAAGCACGTTTTAGAAGGTTCATCAAAATATTATTCAATTTCGCCTCCCACCATCGTTGCAAAACAAGCAAAACTCCTGCTATTTTGCACAAGTCATTGGGGTCATTTTCACATACCGTCGTAGGCCACAGCGTAGAAAGGAAATCCTTGACGCTAACAGCACCTTTCAGACAAAGTTAAGTGTTCATTGTTGAGCGAATAAATGATAAAATCATACGAAATCTAGTAATGATAAAGATATACATTATCTACAGGAATTATTTTTTCCCCTCAATTATTGCTTTCAGTTATTGTTTGACATTGTTGTATTACCTTGCATCCCCCAGCTTGACGCTCCGGGGAATTAAGAAATTTAGGAAATTGAGGAACTTAGGAATTAAATTGAAATATGTGATTGAATGAAGACTTGGAGAATCAAACATAATTGTACAATTATTCTACGATGTAATCTGTTATGTGGAATTTTTGATGTGGAATGCATGTATGTGGAATTCCATTCTTTTGTAACATACTGTATTCCGCCCAATAAGACTTTACATCTTGTATTATGTATTATTGTGAATCACTTTTCATATCATTTTAATGTAAACCTACTTGAGAAAAAAAGAGAACTGATTGTCATCTCTGCTACAAATTTACGGATCTTGTCCATTCCATTTCTAAGGCAGACCATTTATAAAAATATTTCCTCTTAATGTTGTGACATGGTACTTTTTGCTTCTGCCTCGATGTTTATTGAACTGTCCGAGTCTGGCCTCGACATCCATAACTTAATAACGAACAGTTTTGCGGACCTACCTACCAAGATAATGATGCCCAGAACACTGCCCCATGGTCATCCGCGATTGGTCGTAACATGTAGACTCTAAAGGGCTCAGTTAACCTTAACCTTGTGTCTCAGTTAACCTCATTTTCAAGTTTTTCCCACTATCTCAAAGGTAAATGTACTGCCTGGTTGGTTTTTATGCTAATGATATTTCCATATTCATAAGCAAAAGCATGATGTCATCCAAGAAAGAATGCCTCAATGTTACATTGGTTTGTAAGTCACAAAGTCACCTGCATTTTTTGTACTTTGCTGGTCTACATTTTCTCGTATTTGCTCATTCATTGTTGTTTATTTGCATAACAATCAGTGAGCATCAATACTTTTCTTAAAAATGTTTTGAGAAGGCATGTACAGTACATACGCGTGTCTACAGACATGCACAACCTTCACTGCGCTGTGCCACACCAGTGGACGCGCTGTACTTAAATATTGTTTGTATTAGTTATGGAAGTGTATTCTTATATTTGTTCTGTTCACTGCGGAAACTGTGGTGTTAAATTTTAGCGCCTATCTTTTTTGGTGTTGGGGATAAATAATTCCTAAGGCATTGAAATTGAAAAGAAAACCGGTGTTACTTGACATTGGTGTTTAAACTTGTCTTACAGCCTTCTGATTGGTCGATATAAAGTTATGGGATACCCGATGCTGGCTTGACCGTTACGTGCCTCTGAGCTTGATACCTTGCCTTGATCATTATTCAACCTTACAGTCTGACAAATATGTGACGAAACTGTGTGTTAAGATAGCCATTGCAGGAGTTTGAGAAATCGCAGGAAGTTCAAGGGCGACTTTGCAGAAGCTGTGGAACTTGGTGAGTGTTTTTAAATGACTGATGTTCGTCAGGCGTGAACTGTCCTTCAAAGAGACGAAAGACATGTCTGATCATGTCCTGCACAAGATACGCGTAGATGCGTGCACGTGTGCCGTTACCTGAGGAGAATGTCTGTAAAAAGACTCCATTCGAGCTAACACTAAAGACAAATTAAATAGCCAAACACAAATTACATTGTAGCCTGTTATAGTAATTCCGTAGGCCTAACATCTGCATGCCATGTATCCAGTGGTCCCTCATGAGGGCCAACTAACGTTACATATATGTACATGAAACGTTTATTGTTGAAGAGGAAACACAAACTTGAAGGTAAATTTGCCGACCACTAGTATTACACGAAGCCATGATAAAATGCATTGTTAAGGTCATAATTGGTCTGCAGATTGACCTCGCCAGTGCATTGTACAGGCACTCAAAAACGTCCTGTGGCCCATTTTTTTTTCGAGGCAAATTACACGTGCTGCCCTCGCAGGGTTAAAAATGAACGTTTTTCTCAAGTTCGTGGAATGATACACAACAGTAATTGCTAAACTACCCCAAGTCGACCGTCATTGAATTTGTCTTGAAGAGAGTTTGAAAAAGCGGGTTAGTTGGATATCATTCTTCAATCAATTGTGGTGATTCAAAATTAACTAAAAAGAACAGGCCTAAGAAATCAGGCATAAACATTTTGCAATAATCACACGACTCGTTTTTTTTATCTGTTGTTAATTGGATGAAGGACCAATGCTCTCTATACAAATTTACATCAATGGCATAAAGACGCTACATTTTAACGTGCGCTACGGGGTTTAGTATGGATCGTGTCCCATTCCCACCTCGCTGTCATAGCAAACCACACATCTAAACAAGCCTTGACATTATTGTAAGTCTATTCAACATTACATCTTTAACACCCGTCCCCCTCAGTCCCCCCCAAAAAAATAATAGCGCAGTGGTAAGAGCGGAACAACGGTTCAAAAACAACCTAAAAATACCTACACTATGCTCTTGGCAATAAAAATACCTAGTTGCCCAATTCTGTGACATTATGAGAGTAATTTTGGCCCCCGTTGTGTGAAGGTAGATATGCCTAATCCTCTGGGCAGTTCTCTTTCGTGCATGTACCCTGTTCAACCTCTTTGTCTGCACTGTCTTTGCTTGAGGATTCGGTCGGAGCCTCTTCACACTTCTTTGCTTCTTCTAGAAATTAAAAAACAAGAACACGTTGACAAAAACTTGACAGCTGCAGGGGACTCATCACTGAAGCAGGGTCAACCTAACTGCCAAACTAGACCTTGATTGCCCGAATATTGACGAGAAAATAATGATAAAATCAGTGCTCTGGAATACGTGATTGTCGAGCTTTCAGTAACTGAGTACTTTCTTCAGGGCAAGCCGATTCAGAAGAAGGTACTCAATCACCGAAAACTCGGCAATCACATATTCCAGAGCACTGATTTTGAATACAAATATAATATTATTCTTCCGTATTTCCTTGATTGCCCGACCTGTGATCATTGTATTAATTTTGTATTTGGTGTTTGGTTTCTTCCTGTGGCATCTTTGTTTGGTTCTCTGTGGAACATCTATGGTTGGCAACTGATCTACAGTACAGTGACAGTTGCAGGAATTGAAATTTAACAGTTGTAATTGTCAGATCAAAGGAACCAATACAATACCACGTTGTGTAAAATGCAGACTGCATTTATTAACTTGGAAAGTAATGTGCATTTAAACGTAATGGGTCCAGGTGATCATTTTTCATCGCTTTGCTGAATTTCAAAAGTGAAACAGTTCCTCTACCTGTTCCTCTCTCATATTTCCAGAGATTAAAATTAAGGACTGGACGATTCGGAGCATAAATACCATAAACTTTACACTTAAAAATAGTTTGAAAAAGAGCCACTTTCAATGGGAACGTGGTGAAATCCCAACTTTATTGCAGCCAGTGAAATTTTCAACTACTTTATATTGTCCCAAAGATGAGTCCGTGTGAGTGAAATTTCCCTCATAGGGAGTAACCTGCCAATCTTTCGAATTTAGAGTCCAAGACAGAACTCACCGGCGGTTTTGAGGAGTTGAGGGAGGAACTCGTTCCACATGATGCACTCCTTTGCCTTGATGCCACGCCCATTCTCCATGGAAGGTGACAGGTCTTTGTACGCGAGTTCCTCGACGGTAAACAGCGGCCATTCTGGCAGCTTCTCCTCCTCCCTCTGCTCACCATCCAAAGAGGACAAGTTTGGATTACTGAGGAGACAAAGTAAAAGTTACATGTACAAGGAATGGTATCAGTTCATTAATTAATATTACATGTTCAACATCTTGAACAAAATGTATTTCTATACACGCTATTTGCTGATAGCACATAGCGCTGCTGCTTTAATGTTGAAAAAAGGGGGAAGAAAATGATCTTTGCTCTCCACGGTTTTTGTCCACAACACGAATTACAAAATTTCAGCTCATGGAAACGTTGCGTTCATTGTTAGTCTTGGTCAAGGCGTTCGTCATTCGTCGGAGCACCCTCTGCGCTGCGACGAATGACGAACGCCTTGACCAAGGCTAGTTCATTGTGTGCTGAATGATTGGCTCAACCCTAAAAGAGCAGTGCATTTTTTTCCAGAAGTTAAGAGTGTTATAAGAATTTGTGGTGTATTTCTTTTCCGTTTTTACACCATTTTTGCCAAAATTAGAGATACCGTTTTAGCGCTACGATTTCTACGAGACAGATGAGCAAAAAATGTATACCTTTTCGCCTGCGGTGCTCAATACACGCGTACTGACACGCTTGAGCCATGAACTTCAAATGACCGTAACAGTAAAACCGTACTTCAAATTACATTTTCTAATGATAAGTAGTGTCTATATTGATTATGCATGGCAAGTTTTTTTAAAAATCGGCCTTGGCACAGCCGAGTTGTTAGGGGACGGAATCTGCTCCCACCTGTGAGGTGGGTCAAAATAAACCGGCTCTTTGGAGGTTAAATCAGCAAAGAAAAGGCAGACCAGACATAAAAGACACAACAAAGGCAAAGGCAGACAGGAGCAGAAAGATACAAAGGACTGCCAAAAAAAATCGGGTGAAAAAGAAATTTCAGCATTCTGCTCTTTGCCTGGAATGATTCAGTACGTTTCCTGTAATGACTGTGAACAATCCCATCAGAGTAAAAGAACAAAAGCAAATCCCAAATGGCAAAGTCATACCTAAACATGAAATGAACTTGAAAACATAGGTGCCAGCCCTTCAAGGATTTTGTAAAGACAAAAAGTGACTCATTTTTTACTTTTACTTTTGTAGCGTTACCAACTTAATTGAAAAAATGGGGTCTCTTTGTGAGATTCCAACGACAAGCTGGAAATAAAAGGGTTTCCATTGTCATTTTGATTTTGAAGCCTATCTGACTTCTGTTTAACCTTTGCGCGACAATTCGCAGTGGAGAGTCTGTGGGTTGTAACACAAGTATGTGATCAATGTTGATATTAAGAAACAGAAAATAATCGTGTCAGCTATATGCTTTTTATCTTGAGAAACTTTTCAAATAGACCTACCCAGTCTTTGCCAGATTTGCCCAGTAGTTGATAATCTGCTTCGACATGCGGGCCTCGTCCTCAGTGAACGACCAGTTCGCTGAAGGCACAAAGGGGAGACCAAAGACAAATGGCAAGTCATCACCATGGGTCGCCTTTGTCCACTTTTTGCCAATCAAGCTGTAAGAAGGTTCATGGGTCATGTGGTAGCGGTACACCTTACGCCCGGCCTTGACGAAGGCCTTCGCTGCTCTTTCCCCAGGACAGATGAACGAGGCATCACCGACGACCTGCGAGAGGCTGTCTAGTTGGTCGCAGTTGGGGGCTTCCCTACAAGAGGTGTCACGGTAAAACATCGTGACCGCCTCGGCCACGATAGGCTCACGGGTAAGCAGCCAGGCCAATTGGCTTTGGACCATGAGCTCAAATGTGCCGCTATCGACATTGGGTGCCTCGTCGGTGATGTTCGGGAAAACGCCCAAAAGCATCATCATACCCTCATCTGCTAGGGACCCGATGATCGAAACAGCATCGTTGATGGCGCCCTCTGCATAGAGCTCGGCTGGGGTAAAAGGGATGACGTCTCCGTCTGCAATCGGCTGAAAGGTCATCATTTCATCGATGTCAACAGTCTCCATCATCTATGGGAAAGGTTTCAGCCAGACACAAAACATTATTACTCCTGCGACTACCATGGATCAATTTTTAGGCATTTTAAAGGTTCTGTCCGATAACATGTCTTGGACTCATTAATGCGTCTCTATATTCTTCAATGACAACTACCTGACATCCGTTGTGGGATCAGGAGTACTGAAAAGTGGCCCTTTTTAATCACTATTAAAAAAATACTGTTGCGAGATGTAAATCAGGGAAGACACAATCGGTATTATTTTGGCCCATCAATATTTTATTCTAAAATTATGGATCGGCTGAAACACTTATGATTTGAAACATTAATGAAATCAGTTTGCTTGTTGGTCTTTTGTAAGTAAAACATTAGGTCTGTGACGCAGAAAATTGAACCAGGTGGGTAGGTCAGAGGTCGTTGAAATGAGTGCTTCCCAAAGTTCGTCCTGAAGTATGGCCATGGTAAATACCCGTACAAAAATCAAGAAACAGTAAACGAACCTTTTCGTACTGGGTTTGAACAAACACGTCTAGGTCTTCCACTTTCTGCAGGCATTCCAGTAACTCCGCCGATGTTTGTTCCTCACAGCCCACGAGCTTGCCCAGAGCGAACGCACGACTTCGTCCCTTGCCAGACGGTAAAAAAGCCCAAGGTGATGTGGCGTCACCACTCTGTGTAGAGAAAGGTGTAATTTACCATTGGGGCAAGGTATTTGAATTGACGCAGATTGTAAGTCGACTGTTTGTTGCTAACTAGCCTAATTATGTTCTGGCCTTGTTGAATTAACACACTGTTTTTCGAGAAAATACTCAAAACTTTTCGTAACTCGGTTCACCAAGTTAGCTTGCCGTGTTCTTGCATCGTGTCCGACAAAACAAAGTTGGAACAAAGGCCGTGCCCTTTTTCCGGTAAATGCCTGATTGACAAAAAGAATGCAAATAACTTGCTTAAATCAAAGTGCGTCTTGGGTTGAAACATGTACTTAACTTTTGTATTGATTTAATTTTGTCAAATACTCAACGTCATTTTTTGATTAAAAAAACACATTAAATGGGCATCTTCCCTTCAAAGTCCATGAAATCTCAGCATAATGCATTTCCAGCTTGCACAAGAACTTGGTACAATATCATCCTCGTATACTGCATGTAAGAAGCCAAGCAAAATTACATAAGAAAAAACAGCAAAGAAGTCTGCACAAAACTAAGCTGACTTACGCTAAACACTCGACCAAAAAGTACATAAAAACTAGAAATATGTGTTTAAACATTCCCAGTATAACCTGTTATTCATTTAAAACTTTTTGTATTAGCATCATGCGCTGTCTTGAGGATCTTCCCTCCTATGTAACCTCTCTCGGCAATTGCTACCCTCTAACCTGCACGCTCCCATTGCACCTATAAATGTCTGCATTTCAAGTGAAATGGGAACAGGTATCTTTCTACCTCTCGGATTTCTTCCTTCTCTTACCTGTTGTCGCCCGGTCAACATCAAAAAGTCCGTATCACTGTCTCTATACAAGTACATGTAGTTTGTATTGTTGCCATGTTTACGGGTACCCGATCATATAGTTTGGAGCCACTCACACCAATTACGACAAGTGTTAAGGGTACGAATTCCTGTTCCCTAGCCCCCTCCTCCAGAAGGCCCCTGAAAACTACCATGATTATTTACACGTTTAAATAAAATAATGTAATTTGAGTTCCACAAAGATACCTATTTACCTATTTGACACGCCTGACCAAGGCATCACTCTGACTTTAGGTCCTTTTTCTTGAAAATGAGGCAATGGCGTAGCCACGGGGGAAGGGGGCACGTGCCCCCCCCCTAATTCACGGTGTCCCCAGGTGCCCCCCCCCCCTTAAAACGGACGAATGGATATTGAACAAGGCTAACAAAAGCTTGCCCCAAAAAACCACACCACTGAAAGCCGGCGGCCCACTGATACCCATTGTGCCCCCCCGGTAAAATCCTAGCGACGTCACTTCTGGTGCAGCTGCTGCTTGAGAAATGAGCAAGTTGCTAATCTGCAACCTACAGAAATTTGGCCCATGTGCGAAGGGGAGTCTACTTCAGGCCAGTTCATATTACAGGCACATTGTGAGAGCAAAGCGTGTTAGACGCCACGAAAAATTTGCAGCAAAATTTCCACTAAGTTGATATGCGTACAGAATGTTTAATATCGCAAAAGGAAAATTCGATCTGACGTCACAAGTTTGTTTGTGTTCGCTTTCCGGATTCTTACGGTGCCATCCAACTCGTTGAGATCCCAGCATATCCCAGGATGATCGCGCATTAAAAGCGGGTTATGTATCCTCAGATAATTATCATGGGAGGACGTCATTTAAGTTAGTATGTCAACATTCTTGGATAAATCATCCAAGAGTGATGCCACCATGGTGAAAGATATATCGCCATCCCCAAATGCATGTTACCTCAGGGTGTCATGGGGGTATGATATTATACAAAGAGGTTTTCTGAGGATCTCAACGTCTTTATTTTGAGGTCATTCCTTAATTAAATGAAGGAGACAAATTTTGCCATAATCTCTGCATCGCGTCTCAAGATACCGCCATTTCGTCTAGATGTTATGCTGTGATAAGGTAGCGCAGGATGCCGTCATGTTGGCCGCAACACGTCGTCATACGGACATAACATAGCGTTGGGACATAAACAACTATGATGGCACTTCTAGAGATCCGTAGTCTCTTTCTTTTCTTTTTACCAAAGTCATTTATTGAGAGACTTGCGACACGAGTGTCTCGGTTCACGGTTGGAAATGGTGGATTTTGCGTTAGTGCATGTTGACAGTTGGCACACGCTATATGCACACTGAACTGCACATAATGACCAGCCATTTTGATTCCAAAGCCTGACGAAGGGATTACTCTATCACTGCTTTTTACCTGCATGATGGCACCGCGGAAGAGCCCAGCACTACCCGGTGACACCATATGCAAGCTGACGCTGCTGGACCCTGCACTCTCACCGAAGATGGCCACTCGCTGGGGGTCACCACCAAAAGCTGTACGTGGGAAATGTGTCGGTAAAGTTTTACATGCTAATACGGAAAAGTCAATACTTTCGGATGATATTTGATCTCTAATTGCCGCCGCCGCCGCCAACGACGACGACGACGAAAACAACAACAACAACAACAACAACAACAACCAAACCTAACCAACCAAAGAAACAAAACTTATGAAAGGACAACTTAAATCTGTAGCAGTTTGGGAGTCGTCACAAAATTATCACGGGAGGGGGGGCTTCAAATTGACCCCCTGTCTCTGTACATGGCAAATGCACAGCAATCCATGACTCATTAAAACTGTGTAAAGATGTACTGTGACTTTCTGAAGCTTTGTTGTACTAATCCTATTACGCAATATGCAAATGTAAACAATGCACACTATCAGCAACCACTCAGCTAGGCAAATACGTACTGGAATACTGTAAAGAGTACTGTACCTATCGTATGCGGGCACCGCGTACAGCAACAACTCCAATAACTTTACAGCGTTAGTATTTTTCGCTCAACGGATAACAATTGGGAAGCATATTGATAGTTATCTTCCATTTTACGGTGAGCAAATGATGCTGGGCACTACACATGCACAGTAGGCGATGTAAAGGGGAGAACATTCCCAAAAATTAGCGTTAAAACGTTTCGCCGCTGTTTGCAATTTATTACTGGTAATTATGTGGTTACAATACCTGCAATGTTATCCCGGACCCACTCCATTGCAAGACGTTGATCCAACAGCCCCATGTTTCCGGGAACGACTTCGTCACCTAAAATACATCAGGGGTCGAGATCAAAATCCATCATTAGTTGTAACAGATGCCTATAGACGCAACGTATCGAAGTAACAAAACTTTTAGTGGCAAGCCACACATCAAGAGATTTGGGAGGTCGCTCAGACTCAAAGTCAGGCAAGGGATAATGTGAACCAAATGCAAAAACCTGGAAAACATGAGGTGTTCAATTGAATTGATGCTTTACTTGGTAGCCATCTTGCAGAGCAGTTCTTTTATTCCTTAGGGAAACCTCTTTTGTGCATGCCATGTGGAACAAAGCCCCGGACTGCAACATGATAACAATATATGCAAAGTGCAAACCCTCGATAGACAGGGAGGACAGCTACCGACATGCGCGAGGAAGATGGAAGTCGGAATTAAGTAAAGTGGTTTCGTATCTCCCCTAAAGTCAAAAACCTGGGAGGGTTTAAATTTTTCTCCGTTGCAGTCTGCAATGGCAAATTGGTGGCAAAATGTGACTCTGGTCGGGGGGCTAAAAGGTCCCCTCGGAATGAAAAAAAAAAGAAAAACAAGTCCTTCGTGTCCCCGTAACACCCATGATTCAGTATCTGCCAAACCCTTCCAGAAGAGAGCTTAAAAACTACCTGCTCTAAAACATTTACATCCAAATTCATGAACATTTCAGTTAAAAGTATTGTTTTTTAAGAAAAGAGAACGATGCTGTATTCAGCGTGTTGAAGATTAATGAGGTCTTTACATTTACTTTCAAGAAAAAGCTACACATCCACTTCGAGCAAAGTGTATCTCAAAACCCAGGGTCCACTCACCTGTGGACAGGAACCCCAGGACCCCAAGTCGGTAATTAGGGGCCACGACGATGACGTCCCCGAGCGCGGCAATCGGAGTAGAGTATATCTCCAGCATGGTGCCGGCCCCAATGGTGTAACCACCACCATGGATGAACAGAAGCACTGCGGCCTTTGGTGGCTGGGAAACAGAGGAGAACAAGGTTGAGGACCGTTAGAGAAGCCATAGATTGATGAAGGCCCTACCCTGACTTCCAAAACTATTGACACTGTCAGAAAACAGGTTAGGGAGACATTTCATTTCCATGTTGCTTTTTATTTTTTTAAAATTTTGCATTCAGACATTTATGTACATAAAACTAGTGACGGCCGCCGTCAATTTATTTGCCACTTTAAATTGCGATTGTTTATTTTATCGCTGTTGAGCTCATTGAAAGGAGATGGGAAGAGACGATTTCAATTTGCATGTTATTGAACCCTGAGATGTGTTGAATCACACTGTTTTCATTTTGGTCACCTTACGACCCGATCAAATCGTGTCCGGAGCGAGCATTGTAAAAGTTTGGGATCCAACTGAATGACGTGAACGTTTAAATTGCAACCGGACGTCCGACGTTACAGAAGGGTGAAGTTGGAGTTTACTGGTGAGGAAAATTCAGTTCGTACCGTTGACTATACGTGTAGTTGCTGCATGGGAACACACAATGCTTCGTGAGTGATGATCCCGAGAGGCCAGCATTTCAGACATTAATATAACAGAAAAAAATCCCTCAGGTTTAACTAGAGGCCGGGCCTGCTGTACATATAACCCACGAGAAGTATACTTACAACGGGCTTAGGAACGAAGATATCAAGGACAAGGCAATCCTCATTAAAGGGCCCCGTCATTGTGATATTGCCGATTGGCATTACTGGCTGTGGGCATCGGTTGCCCAGCTTGGTGGCTTGCAGGTCTCCGCTCCATGACTTAGCGACGGGAGGTTTGAAGCGCAGCGGACCGACGGGAGCCTCAGCGTACGGTACGCCGAGGTAGGCGTCCACGCTCCTGCGAAGCGCAGGGTCCTCGGGGGCGAACTGAAGCTTCGTGCCAACAATGCGACCCTGGCTTGTCGTGACTACAGGAGGGTCCTCGCCACTGGACATCCGTATAAGGAATACAGCGCACAAAACAAATTCTATTACCACCTGCATTTTCCTGTAGTTTTCTCTTCCGGTTAAACCAGTGCGAAAGCAGCCTAAACCTGCGTCGTGCAGACAACACCCCTTCCAATATCCACACGCAGGCAGTATGAAGCAATACCCATAACCTTTGAAATGTGCGTGCTTAAAAATATTTGATGAACAGACTGCGAGTCTACTGCGGGCTTTAGATCCCAGGACAAACAATACCTTGCATAATACATATTGCAAACAGCACACAGAAAAAAAAAGATTAAGTTTGCATTCCCGTCGATAGGCAGGTGAGGTACAGCCCTTATGGTACTCGGTGGCACAAAGAAGCTGACCTTGGGGTCAACGAAATGACTTTGCTAATGGTTCACTTCCCACATAGTAACAACTTATGTTACTCATTTCAACTACATGGATTATTTGTGCACGTATATTAAAAAGTCCATGGCAATGGAAGTACAGAGGGTCTACTAGCTAATGCGTATAAACCTGTACTCAGTACACGCAATTGCATCAAAGTGTTCACCATCTCTAGAAATAGCCTGGCAGCCCAACAAACCTTCCTCATCTCCTACCCAGCGGAGGCAGAAAGGCTTTGAGAGGGGGAGATCTTATGGCCCAATCATTTTTTTGGGGGGGGGGGGGGTTGATGGGCCAATTTAATTCGTACCTCCAATGGCATAGCAGAAAGTGGAGGGGGAGATACCTTTTTTCAAGGGTGGGGGCAACCCTCCCCCTAGTCTTGGTTCCAGGACCTTCACATCGTAGTATGAATAGAAGATCTTGGAACCAAGACTACCTTTCCCCGCACTTTCCGAGTTTAAAATTTAGAACTTGGGGAACTACAATATAAACAATGCATCAATTTGAAATCGAGTTCGAGTTAGCTCTACAGAGATAGCCTCATATTTCAGCGCGAATTTCGATGCAGTGTGAATCGTCAGAATACACGAATGGATCACAGGAGTGCGAACAAAGTCGCTAAAATTTGTACGTTCATCCCAAATTAATTTGAAAGTACTCCTGACGAACTTAAGCAGCGAAAATGATATAAACGCTATGTTACATATTATAGCCTATAGTCCATAATCCCTTGGGCTTTCTGTGAACTACTTGACTTTGTTTAAATACTAGTAGCTATATAATACACGGAGACACTTCTTTAAATTAACGAAGTGCTCATGGCGCAGAGACACAATTTTGTTACTATACAAATATGAAAGGAGAAAATGATGGATAAATATGATATCACGAGGCAAAAGGTAGCAAAAAATACCCACGTTAAGCCACTGCTTCAAAAGGTCCTCTGAGTGCATATGAAAATTCTTGAAATGGGAATGATCTGGAACTTTTGCAGTTAAATCCATAGCAGATATCCATGGCTCAACTCCCATGATTCATAGCTTATGCTGTAAAATTCTTAAGTGATGGGTGCAATCCCTTGACCCCACTATTTGTTTTAATGATGCATGATCAAAAATACGGAGGAAGATGAAAAGTGTGATAATGTAAAAATTTTCCAGGTCTTGCATCTAAAGAAAATAGAAATGGTTCTGAACAAAATATCACGTTTCCCTGAAGAAAGGTATCAACTTACCCCTTCTGACACATAAAAACAATCTTTATGTGAAAGATTTCTATTTACCTTTAAAAATATTTTAACATAAAACATTTCTGTTTCCTTTGTGCTTTACCAGTTTAGCGAAAGGCCATTTTTATGCTACTGACATATAGCTACAATTATTTGATATTGATCAAAGTGTGAAATGAGCACTGTGTGTTCAAACTCTCCTTACAAAAGACTCTGCCTTGAAAGAGATCTGACGAAAACAGAGACTGGTCCTCTTTGTCCGATGGTCTGAAATTGCGTCAGTGAAAAATATACCAATTTGACGATCTCAGGTCTGACCGCTCATTCATTGTTAATTATAAAACTTTTCTTACAAAATGAGCGCACAAGAAGTGACTGGAATACATCAAAAATGTCATCAAGAGAGAAAGAGATGATCAATCATTCAACTAAAAAAATCAGAAAGCTGCGGCCTTTAATTGGGAGGGCTAATGGCACGTTGATTCTGATCAACTTGATCAGAAGTGCAAGTTGATGTTTGTTGATTCAGACTTAGCCATCAAATCAACACAGAGAAACAGGCCGATGTATTTTTAAAGTAGCACTCAGGTTTTTCAAAGTTCAGCATTTTCCAAGTTAATTTTTTGAACAACGGTTTATGGGTGATTGACTTAAACATATGAGCCAAATTTAGAAGATATTTGGGACCTCATTTTATGAAGACAACAGTGACATTGCTGATGGAAAGAGAAAAAATAAAGTTGGATAATTTTCATTCTACAGTTTTCTCCTAGAAACGGTTCTCCATCTGGCAGGAAACTGTAAGACTTTGTCGTCGGTGCATTTCCAGGATAGTCTATTAAAGACTGATCCAGCAATTCATGCAAGCCTTGCAGTCGAAGCTGACAAACTTCAATGAGATGCTGGTGACCACCGCATGAGCACACGCAAGCCCATTCTTGTGCTAACATAATACGCTGTAAGTCAAAACACAGGACGCTGGGAATTTCCAGGAGAGAGTTGTATATGTGGGATAGCCCATAGTCCCTTTCATTTAGCACAAGTCTGTGTCCGTTGGATACCGTGGGTGTCAGACAAGAGTGTCCTCATTCCGGAGGTACTGTCCAATGTCGGCTTGGTGGAAGACGACAATCGTCGTTGGGTCTGCGTGCCGGCACTCCTGGGTTGACTTGGCTGCTACCCCAAAGCCCTGTAGGAAACACACCAGGAAACATGATCTCTGTGACAAACAGCTATAAACCTGGGGTCTACTTGTGGCACCTCCGTTGCCTCTGAAAGCCACTCTGTCACAACCCTTCTGTCTCCTCTTTCCACAACAGAATACAGAGAGCAAAATGCTTTACCTTTCAAGCATACAATAGATGTCATTTCTAATGGTACTTGGCAGTGAAGAGCTGTGTGTTAACAGACTTTGCTACTCTTCTCGGTGTCAATTTGTCTTTTACTGTTCACACTGTTATATCTATACACATACATCTACGTGTACTTGTCGTTTTCCTTAATCAACACGTGGAATTCTTAAGGGTAGGAAGGGAATCTGGAGAGAGTTCAAGTGACTACACTCTATCCCTTTTCTTGATTTCCTATCCCTCCTGCACTTGTTGCTTTGAACAATTGAAATATTTGGTTTGCGGGTGCAGAACCCAGTATGAGGTGGTAGAGAGGCTTTGGGTGGTGCCCATCTTGAAGGGCAGTTCCTTTGTTCCACAGAAAAACCTCCTTTGTGCATACACTGTGAAAAGCACAAGCCTGTAAAATGGCAGCCATGCAAACCCTCTACAGAGAATGAAATTAATACACATTCTACAAGCCATGTCATACATTCACAATGGAACTTTATGATGAGAAAAAACTGCCTTCAAAGAGCAAGTAACAAGTAGAGTCGCTGGGGTCAATTTTACCAATTCGTCTTCACATTGTAAGAAAATAACTCAGTCAACATCCCTTACAATGTGCGATGACATTCAAAGGGATGTGTCCCCTGATCCCAAGGACGATGCAGTGTGCACATGTTGTGACAACGTTTCTTACCAACGGGATATCACTCATGGAGTAGACCACCACTCCCTGGTACCGTCCGGCATTCTCTGTGATCCGCCCCAGGCCGGACTTCAAGATGTGATTGCCGTACAAGAACGACTGCTCCGAGCCTGGCTTCACCCACACCTTGTACTACATGGAAGAATCAGCAGAGAAATGTAGAAGTAAAGCAGTAAACCCTGAAAGGGATGAGCTTTTCCAGACCAAGAACTCAGCTGTCTCATGCCGTATCTTATGGAAACTTGGCATGCATGTGAAGACATTATGTGTACATGTACGTCTGTAAAGCTTCAATTCAATCTGACGCTGAGAGTTTTTCCTGTGGTCCTATGAAGCTCCTGCCCTCCCCCCATGTTGGGAGGTGTGCACTGAGCATGTCAGTGGGAAAGGTTGGCAATTTTGGCTGATATGTCTAGGAAGAATGGGTGTGTCATCTTCGGCTTTTATCCCATTAGCATCCCCAAGCCCTTGCCAGTTTTAAGCTACATGGGCCATTTTCCAATGCTCAATTTTGGCTCCATCTCAGGTTTCAACTTTTTTTTTACTAGCTGACTTTGAAGCTGTAAGCGCAGTAATCAGTCTAATAGTGCCACAGAACATCAAATAAGACGCAAGAAAGCCAAAAATTACAGAAGTACAATGTAATTTAAATGCTTCAGGCCCACAATCGGGGATTACTTTTGGGAACGAAGCCTGAGAGGGAGACAAAGTTGAGTATTGGAAAACGGCCATGTAGTAATATAAAACCACTCCTTCACACTTTTAATCCATTACCATAGCTGACATCATAAATACACTGATGACACATGCACAGGTAAACGCATCTGAGGAGATTCAATGCTATCACAAATGTACATGTTCATGTACCTTTGCATACGGAGCCAGAAAATCTAAAGCTGTGATGTGGAGGTGAAACTTCATGGTCTTTGTGAGCTTCCCAAAACAGGTGCCCATGCTGACTAGCTGCTTCCTACTCACACTGGCTGCTCGCTTCATGATGTCTTGGCTGCCAAGAAATAAGTACATACATGAACAGAAGCATCTCGGCATTTTTAATGGATAATTGAATGGATCATTGTCGCCAAATAATATTTGTAAAGACCTGAGACAGTTCAGGATTTCCAACTGGTTGAGTCACATGATAAAGCACCAGCTGGATGTGACACCTCTGACACGGTACATGTATGCCCCATGCATGCGCTAATCTCCATATAAGCAGATTACGACATGTAACACTGTACCCATAAGGAGCACATGCATGTAGCATGGCTGGATGGGTGTTGGATTATATGAAAATGAAAATCTGGAAAAAATTGGAAATTTGCAAGTTCTGAAACTTGTTCTTACATGTACTTTGCCACTCAAAGGGTATTTACAAAGTCTTACAAAGCGCCTCAGGAGAATGGAGCTGATAATGTCCTTTGCCTACAGCATTATCAGCGTCCTTTCCCTGATCTAGTCACGAACAAATGTTTAAAGCTAGCGGAGCATATACCGCACATGTACATGAATCTATTCTCTTAATATACATGTTGCCCATTTATACACTAAATGAAACTTCATTCATGTGCTTGCTTGCCTATTGCCATATACTTACACAACAATAAATTGCCAAAGGAAATTCAATTTACAATAGCGGTGTTAAAAAAAATCTAGAGATTTTCTGTGCACAAATCAGTGCAACATTGAGGCTCGGTGCCTTGGATGACATCATAGTTTGCTCATGAATATGCAAATGTACATTAGCATAAAAACTAAAAAAGCTCCAAAATATGGGTTAATATTGCAGAACAAAAATTTAAAATCAGGTAAATTGAAACCCGGAGGTGCAATTTCAAGGGTTTTATTACAATTTAGTAAAATATTTCTATTTCATGGTCCCTTTAAACCTGAGGTGCATGTATGCCCGGTACGGAAAGAAATGACAATCTATTGGCCGAAGAGGTACTCAATGCTTGTAAATGTACATGTATACCAATGAAGCACCCTGAGATGCTTGGTTGTGGCAAACATACAAGTGTATTGGTTGCTTGAGTGCAGCATGTTTGCTGCCACCAAAAAACCTTGAAACTCTCACTATGGATGGGCATAGTGGCAATGAGGCATGCTTCATAATTCTGGTCACTGGAGTAATTTTTTTTCAGAAGTCTGGAGATTTGGCACTCTTGACACTGTGTGCGCAAGTCCCAAAACTTAAGGTAGTGAATGTAATGCTATGCAGGACAGGGAAATAAACTGGCATCTGTCTACGTAAAAGCCTTCAGAACTGCAGAAATTTAGAGTGAAAATAGAACTTCTTGTGCTTACTTAGTCTGTAATATTACCCATTCTCTCAAAAGTTGGGCCATAAGACTAAAATCTTGGACAAGTAACAGTCTAGTCTTCAGCTTTGATTTGAAATCTTTTGGCTTCACTGTCACATGTCAAATGTTGAAGAAACCAATGAGGAAGGAACACAAAACTTCCCTTTAACATGTTTAAATTTTGAGCCAAGACCTTCTAGTTGGCAGGTGAACTACTAAAGGCCTTGTCTTTGGTCCATCAGTTTGGAGAATTCCAACGGCTAAACAATGAGTAAAGTTGGCACAAATTAGTCTACATTCTGGTCTGCACTCACAGTCTCCAGGAGTCACTAGATGTCAACTTACCTGACATAGTAGATTCGTTCCTTGTGTAACCTAAAACAGTACGCACCATCTGGTCTGTCAATCAACAGCCTGATGTTCTCCCCAATACTGAAACACAGAAGAACAAACGGCATCAGGAATATCTGATGCTAAACAATTCTCAATAGTCAACTGCCATAAATAATAAAAAGCAACTGTAATTATTTGTATTTCAAATTTACATTTCATGATGACATTAGGAACATTTGACTATGAACTGGTTCTTGATTGTAAATAGATTCATGTGGAAGCCACTTTTAAATATCTTGTTCCCTGAAACTATCATATTTAGTGTGATCTAATACAGGATGGTGCCAGACTATTTGGGGTTTCAAAATTTGCTTATGAATGATTATAAAGATGAATGAAGAAATTGACTGGAGCGGGATTTGAACCTGCGGCCTTTGGCCCTTAAACCTGCTGGGGGGGTGCTAGTCAGAAGCCATTAAACCTGAAACACCATATAGCCAGGGATCACACCGAATTACACAATACAACCTGCGAAGTGGTGAACAGGGATCACTCAAAGAGGATAGGGCTTTCAATGCAAATTAAAATAACAAAAACAGCTTAAGAGACACTACAGAGACACCAGCAACACATAATATCTTTTGCTATTTTACTCAAGTATGGCACTGAACACGTGCAGTGCCTTAGGAAATTTGGGAAATTTATCCTGTGGACGTTTGGTTCAACTGTCTAGGTAAAAAAAGCAATGTAACTCCAAAGCCATGAATCAGGAAAATAAAATGAAGTACATATACATGTATCCTTTTAAGAAATTGATGGAACAATGGAGGGTTTTCACTGCGTGTTCATTATTGCTGTGTGACAAGCTTGGCCATTGGCGAGATGCATGTGCAATGTGATTAACACAAATGGCACGAACGGTGCGAAACGAGAGATTGGTGAGTAAAAATCTCAGATTTTTCAAAAACTACTTGGTTTCATTACGGTCTGAAACCTCTGTTACACCAGCAAGACCATTTTAAAGAGCTATAGGAAAGAGTTCTACAGTATACATGTATATACATACGGACGCGGCTTGACACCCTGCATATAAACCCTAAGCGACTGGTCTGAAAAATTCTAAGTTTTTTCAAAGCAAACAACTTGGGTTTTTCCCCCCTAAAATGCCAGATTGAACTTTCTGGACATGTTTTGCTTTCCATGTATGGAACTCTTCCTGAGCTACAATGTAGGCCTACCTCACAGTTGCTCTCATGGGAAAATTTGATAGAAAAGTGGAGTTTGCATTGCCGGATCATTACCGCAAAAGCTCCATTCAAATAACACATCTATGCATTACGACCCCATTTAAACAACCACAGGGTCACAAGTGACTTGGAGTTCTTCAAGTAGGCTACATGAAGTACGCCTAGGCCTAGGCATGCTAGGCCTGGGCTGCGGCCATCACCTGCTCTTTTTGCCACTGCATTGTTTCTAACACCACTCACTAAACACGTACTATTTTATACTTGGGAACCCCCCTGCTTTTTGTCATTTTATTCTTGCAAAACTGGTACATGTAAGTCCCCCCAAGGTACAAAGGTAACACTCTCTCTATTGCACTGAACCTATTTTCGGAAATTTCAAATGGCAAGTTGTGAGAAAATGTGACATTCTCACTGATAAACCAGCTGTGCAAATTTGAATTTACCATGACCAGATGACTCGTGTTAAAACACTCACAGTTGCTCCTGTTATTTTCCCCTGAAATGCAAAGCACTGCCCTTTGTTTACATCAACTGTACAATTATTGAGCATGCAGTTGACCATGATCCAACACATCGGTCATCTACCAAGGACAAGGTGTATACAAAAGTTAAAATGCAGGCCCTAGGTCATGTACATGTATGTACATATAGGTCTCCCTTCTGTCAACGGGGTCACCAAATTTACAATAGTGTAGGCCCATACAATAGTATAGTGGATCATGAGTAGGATGTGTGGATTGAGCATTGTCTGATTATACTACATGTATAGTATTCAAAAACAATACTCATGTTAGGCATTGTAAGGTGCACGCCATAAAACTGGTTTAGGCTAGTAATATTTATAAGACGTATATTTCCGATACCGTAGACTAGACCTGGAATGGAGACATGGAGGCTAGAAGTTGCAGTTTAATTTCTCTTAAACTTACTACTTTGACAGCTTCTCAAAAACAAGCTTAGTTTCCTCCTCCGTCAGTGGTCTCATTTTATATCTTCACCCAAAATCGGCAGCCTTAAAATTAGGTACAGCCACACAAAATTTTTCACGTGTTACATGATGTGTACTGACCGCATGCGCGACAGATAAAGGCAGTATCACAACTGGGAAGGGTACTTGCGCCTAGTGAACTATGAATTATGCAGTACATATACAGTATGTCTCAATATTATGCAGACTCCATAAAGACAAATGAAAGCCATGTTTGATTCAATATAATATTGAGTTATCTGAATATTACCAGTGGATCACCTACTGGTTATACAGTATGTGTTTGCCAAGACCGCCACGTGCACAAGTCAGGGTACATATGTACATGTACAACCTGTACATGTACTGTACATGTACAGTACATGACATGTACATTGTTCATGTACATGGACATGTACGTAGATGTACATGTCATTGTACATGTGCATGCCGGCATGCCATGTACATGTACAATTACGCTGTTAATTTCAAACGTGCGTAACACCCAGGATCGCAAATTGATTTAAAGGTGTTACATGTATAATATTATATATTTCTGGAAGTGACACCAATTAAGGATATGGGCGATTCCTCAAAAGCGCCCTAGGCAATGTAGCCTAGGCATAGGAGACAATTAAAAGTGCCAGTTGCAGTTTTAGAGGTGGGAGGAAAACTTGAACCCCAGAGGAATATTCTGGGTAAAACCCACGGAATCAGGTAGGGACTGAAAACTCAATCCACATGTGGCCCTGGCCGGGATTATATGATATTCATCACTCAGAATTAATTACGAGATAGAGGCCACGATCTACTTCTCGTTATTATTTTGCAAGGTAAAAAGTAAGGCTTATTCTTCAAGTTAAATGACAAAGATCATGGCAAGCACATATTACAAGTATATTTGTAGCGGCCTTTTTACTTAAGGTTGTTGAGGGGGAGCCGTGATCCCCTCTGCCGCACTGTACCGTAACTTAGGCTACTCAGAAGTACTGAATCACTAGAAAATGAGCCTATTTCTCACAATGTGACCTCCCTCAGAAAGTGTCGCACTTTGATAGAAAAGAATATGATCCGTATACGTTTTTGTTAGGGAATCGGTGCGGCATTTTGGGTCAAAATTATCACTAGGTCCCGTGCTCTGATTATTTTTTAGAATCAGTGTTATAATTACTAGTTGATCACGGGGCTGAGAAAAAAGAGGGGCTCAAAATGATCGTATTTTGGGCAACCGTCATTAGCCTTGTTCATTATGGCATTTGCGCACTTTCCAACTTCTCGTATTATTTTGATTATGGTCAAGGCCTCAGTATTTCTGACAGTGGACGTAGACTGAGGCTGTGTGTACGTGATGGCTGCATCATGGGGGATCGAGGGGGAAAAGTGCAGGGATCGGATGAGATGAAAATTTGAAAAGTGGGGAGGTGGGACACAGACTGTATATAGAGGTCTAAGTTCATGAGATTAATGCACATCTGTAATTACGTATTCAAATTTTAATCCAGGTTTTTGAGTGATGTATATTAATATAATTGAAGGAATTTTAGTCTTTGAATCGTGTTAAAAATTCTTCATATAGCCCTTCCTCCACCTCAAAATGTGTGCGTGGGGTACGGGTATATACTCCCATCCCCCGGGATTTACGCCCGTGTTAATCAAATATATGCCCATGTTAACTTGTCTACAGCTAGGTCTAGGTCTTCGCTCCATTGGAAATGCGTGGAGACGCGCAGACAACAGACCTAGCCGTTGCTCTGGAAGCCCTTTTCGGACACGGCTTAGTGTACCGTACCTTAACTTACGCACAGTGCACACATTGTATGGCCACATACGGTGACGCCTGATGACCCTGAGCGAAATACAAACTTAAATAAATTATCATAAGTATACCTTAGCGGTTGCGATACTGTACCTTCCTCGTCCGCTAATAAGTTTTTTTCTTTAACAATATCTGCAAACATTTAACATTGTTTGTCAGTTTTGTTAAACATGCATCATGTTAAATATCAATTTAGTATATTTTTGTTTCAACTAAGGGCTTAACATACTTATGGGTTTTCTAGCTTAATTCTTTAATGTTGTTGTCCAGGGCAAGAGAGGCCTTTGACCTTTGCACGACCGTTTCTAAGCAACAGCCGATTGTTGACTCACTTACTATGTACGTGTACATAACTTGTACGGCGCTTGCTGGCCTTTGTGATCAGACTCGCTATCAATGTTGTGGATTAAATTTCTCAATCACTTTGTTTGCATTACGCCTCGTTTTACTTAAAGCAGGTTCAAGTTACCACATTATGGATACGGTAAGGGAAACATTATCCGATAATTATCACGAAGAATTTATGAAGTGTGAAGCCCCATAGTCGCGAGGTTTTTTTTACTTCACCTGCCTCCAAGCGTGGCCGGCCAGCTGTACCGCACAGTTCCTGTACTACACCGTTTACCCGCGCGGAAGTCCTCTTTATCACGACTTTTGCACTTACATTGATACGCTTTCATTGGTATCCCAGAAAAGCCTTAAAAAGTTAAGAGACGTACTCCTTGCTTTAGTTGCAAGGATGCAATTTTTGCTCCTTGATTTTTTTTTTGCAAACAACTTCAGAAACCCGGAAGTGCTTCCAAGACTTGTATTATAAACAAATGGGTCTGTGCAGGATGTTGGAGGTGCTTTTATAGCATACCCCAAAAAATTTGAAAAAAAAATGAAATATATGTTAAAAAACCAAAAACAGTAGGGTCCTTTGTTTTCCGTAGGATTGATCTTTGCATGTAGGGTTTACTTGTGTTTTGAATGAATGTACCGGTCGGCAGGTAGGCCAAGTGTGTTAGGCCAGTATTGAAATGCTCAGTATGTTTATTGTTTATATAAATTTGATTTGATGCCCTCAGCATGCTTAAGGCTTCAGACAGTGTGCATACAGGGAGATATATTTTAACAGTTTTGTCTGCATCTATGAATTCTAGTGGGAAGTTGTTCATCCCAGATTTTACTGTGAGCAAATTCACAATTAACCCTAACACTCCTCAGTCCTCCAACAGGTGAAGGATTGAGGAGGGTTAGGGTTAATCCTGACTCAGTACAACTTAATCAAGTAACATTTTGCTTCAACTCGTAGTCTTGAATCTTTCAACGTTTTCTCCTGTGCAGGTCTGCACGACACCACTAACTTAATGCCAATTCCATGCTCCTTTGTCAAAGCACAGTTACGAGGCTCTGTACCTACTTCAGTCTTAACTAAAGACCTCTAGAGCCTTCTTAGAATGAGAGGTTAAACTCACACTGGGGCTCATCAATTACTGCATGCATGTATCTGCAGAGTCTACTTTGCAACAGGGCAAGTAAGAACAAAAATGTTATGCTCAGTTGGATTTTTGAAAAGAGGAGGAACTTAAGAGGGGCTTTCCATTTTTTTCCTTCTTTTCAAGATAATGGTCATTCTTTTTGAAATTCCAACAACTTTCTATTAATCAGAGATACCAAAAGGAAAAAGACATGTTGGACAAGAGAATTGAACACGTTTGATGAGGGACTGTATGTACATGTATAGTTTGTTGTTTTCACCAAAAATACTTCCATGGGCATGGGTTCAATTTCCAGCTCCAGCCAAGTTCATGTAGTTGGCTGTATTCATCACATGTTTGGAAATAACAGGCTGATGTCGATGAGTGATCGAGTCCAAAGCTTTTGTTTCACTTTGCCATATTGGGTTTTCTCAGAAATGTACTTATTTTGTGTTGTCTTATTTTTTGTCTTGACATTTACAGCTAGACGATTACACTTGTTAGAAAAGAGTAAAGTGGCTTTTGGAGGATGTCCGTCAGGGTATGTGTATATCCTGTGCCAATAAGTGACCCTGGGAGTATATCACGATATGGCAGTGCATCAAGCTCAGTAGTGAGTGGTCGCGGGTCTCCATCACGGCTCATCTCAGCCTCAGCTACATGTATAGCAGCCATCTCCCAACAGGCTGCCAACACGTCGGCCTCCTCAACTTGCCGGGCCTCAGCTGTCCAAACGGAAGATGGAACAGTATCTCCACCCACCCAGAGCCAGACTTGCTCCTTGCCCGAAATACCCAACAGTCCGAGTTTGCGGTCTGTTGCGACTTCAGACTCCCCGCTCCTTGTACAAGTGAGGAACATTGCTGAGAGGCAGAAGGAAGAAATGCTACAGGGGAGTGCAATGCAGAGTACTACACGGAGCAGTACGTTTCCCAACTTCCGAGCTCTCCAAAGGCTGGCACTCAGTGCTAGGACAAGTACAAACTCCAGGAGAAGCAGTACCACCTGTGTTCATGCTGACAAAGATCTCAACCGGAGAAGCACCTTATCCAACTCTAACAGTTCAAGAACGCCAGGGTCAAACAGCACCAATCACCCGGCTGATGAGAGGTGTGGTAAAAGTTTCCAGCTGAGTCGGGGCCCTGAAGCCACACGAACCCCAGCTGACTTCTGTGCACTCACAAGTTTACCGGGAAACAGGCAGGATGAACGTCTAAGGTGGAAGAGCTCCTCTTCTGATGAGATGATGGAGGCTTACGTTGCTGGTGAGTTGATCTTGCTTGTTCAGATTGTGTCCCAGTTGTAGTCATAGTCCCAACGTCAGTGCTGGTCTTGCAACTTCAACTGCAGCACTGTAGTTTAAGATCATCTCATGAGTATCATTGGGACTAAAACTATGTACAAGTATGCATGAACTTATGGGGAGCATGTACATACATCTACATCGTAACATGTACTGGAATGTCATGGTAATATTCTTATGTCATTTTTATCAGTAACAGAATTGCCATCATTTCTATGTTATGAATCTCATGATCATACCCGGTTCATGCTTTTTGAGTGACTGTGACCATTCATATCTTCCTCAATGTCTACGTTACATTGCACCTCTGTCACATACTGTCATGGCAAAGTTGATCAGGTACAATGTAAGGTCAGTTACTTACAACACACCACACCGGTGACATGCTTACTGTCTGTTAGCTAGCTACATATTCACACTGTTTCTTTTAACTGCAGATCACCCAATGTCATCAAAATTCCACAAGAAGAAATCGGCAAAGAAAAAGAAGAGAAAAACTAAAAGGACAAAATCCAGGAGTCATCTTTCTCAGAAGCATCCCCCAGAGAGCAAACAATCCTTGGCTGACAAAAAGGCCACTGTACAGGACTCCTTGGGCACCTTACTCCGAGCCATGCCCGTTGTGGTTGAGACCAAAAAGATAGAAGTGTACAGTTCACGTTATGGCAAATGCGAAACAGAGGGTATAACCCCCCACCGGACTGAGCGAAAGTCCTCTGATATCGAGAAAGCCAATAGTCCAAACCCTGTGACATCCTTGCAGAGGGATTCACCACAGGGGGCTTTTGTCAGCAACCTCACCGCTCAGGGACGTCACCCAATCATTTACGCCAGCAGGGTGTCACCTCGGATCCCTGGACCTGGCGGACTCGGTAATGGCTCTCGAGAGCAGGACAACTTGTCACGGGTGACGAGGGTGTACCTGTCCGACAAACAGTCTGGTAACCTGAGGGAGTGTGGCTCAATCCTGCCCTGTGCACCGCCTTGTACCCCGACTCCTCAGATGATGCAGAAGTATCAGTACATACCATCCATGATGGACTTGAGGGTAAGGATGACAATATTTGTGATCGTCCATTGCATCTTGAAGATTAGCCTTGACACTCTGAATCATCTCTCCTATAAATTTTCACCAAAGTTAAATAAAACAAATGTACGTAAATTCAAGAAATTCCATTCTGAACACTGGGAAAAATGTAATCTATATGTAACAAATACCGTTTGAAGCATAAACAGCAGTGGATGTTGGAGGCTTTCCAGGGGTGGGGGGGGTCGACCCCTCATTTTATGTCTTCATTGCAGACAGGCAGATGCATGTACATACATTTTGTTTTGCATTGTTACTGATGTATAACCAATAACCCTTACAGGATATCATCTGTTTTCAATATTATTGCATGTACTTATATACATGTAATTGTTAGTTTATTTATTGTATTATGTCTTTTTTGGTGTCAGAGTGGGGGGGGGGCTGACTTCAAACTCCCCCTTAGATCTGCACCCGATCAGCCCAATTTCTGTCAACATAACACGGCATATAATTTGCTAAAATCAAATGTCCACTTGTGGCTTGCTTACTAGCCTGTGTATTACTCTGCACAATCACCCATCTTACATATGTATAATGTACTTGTGGGGTAATTCCTTTTTTCTCGTGTACAAAACTCCCACACAACACGGAAAAATTTCAAATCACTTCCATTTCAACTAAATTCAGTCTCCTGGGTTGAAATTTTGACCTTACATGTATGTCCCTTATATATAAAACACTTCAATTTGCGACAGATGAATGGCACTTGAAATTTCCTCCTTTTTTTAGTAAATTTGAAATATCTATTTTGTGAAAGTCTTGTGGGGTACCACTTTAGTACCCCACAAGGATCAAAACTGGCCTTGTGGGGTACCTTCCATTGTTTCCGTTACCCCACAAGGCACCATGTACAAGTGCAGTATGCATGTACTGAGTGCTATCATGCAGGTAGTACATGTACATCATGAAATATTACAGCAGACACAGCTTAAAGTCACTGGGAGCATCTCATATCTCAGAACAGGTGGAACGTTAACTTTGAATGCAATGCCTTGTTTTCACTGTCGAACTGGCAGTCATTCCACAGGGCATTTCCCGTGGACGTTTCAAGATGTACTTTGCATTCTGGAGGTGTTTGATAATGGGTTTGCCCTTACACTGACGTACTGTACATGTACTTTTATACTCAATTTTTGTTCGAGAGCTTGTGAAAAAATTGACAAGTTTACTCTGGTGGGACTCGAACCCACCACTACCTGCTTATATACAAGGTTGTAGGTTCGAGTCCCAACCGAATAAACTTGTGAATTTTTTCATGAGCTCAAACACTGAGAATACAATGTTATGTATACATAATTTTAAGGGCAAAACCCTTTATTAAAATTCAGCAGAATATTGCCTCATAATTGGGCATACGTATTCTCACTCACTTGTACATGTACATGTAACTGTTCAAATGAAATGCTAGTATTCCAGTGGGAACTAAACATGAATGTTCCTGATTTTGAGATGGTCCCTAAATGAGCATGGATGTTACAAAATGGAAGAAAGTAGAAAGTCACATTTCAATATTTGTATTCCAGAATATACAGTGTAAGTGCTCACAACTTTCTGGCTGGCCCTAAATGAAATGAAAACAGAGGGAGATTGGAGACATTCGTATCTAGTAGCTCAAGCATCACAAAGTGGTCAAAAATGGGGGCACACAAAGCATTTTCTGATAACATACATAATACTCTACACAATTAATGCAAAACTTTAAGGCCGGGATCAAAGATTAGTCAAATTCCCAGAAGGGTCACAGGTAGGTTCAATTCAATTTGTGGCACTGTTAACATGCAGGATAGCCACACTCCAAAGATTGCAAAGAGGTGGATTGGAAACCGATATGTAATTATATTACGCAGTGCCCAGTTCTCTGCAGTAGGCACTGCAATGTGTAAACATGCCAGTTTTTCCCCCTTTGTCTCCCCGCATTTTGGTGTCCAGAGCCAGCGAGCTGTCCGCGACCGCCTGTCCGGAATGGAGCAGAAGGCCAAAAAGAAGCAACAGCAACAGAGGGAGGAGGCTCGCAAGGTGGAGCAGCAGCTCCAGCGAGACCAAGTGTCGGCTTGGAAGCAGCGACAGAGGCTGGAGATATATGCCCTGAACAAGATCATGACCGAGTTTGAAGAGAACAACTTCCAGCAGTTCATGAAGATGATGAGCGGGAAGACTCCTTGAAGACATGATCTGATGTTTCATTCCAGTTAGCTCTTTTCTCTCTAAAAGGCCACGTGTCTCACTGAGACTTCGACACAGAATTTCATGTCAACATTGTGTGGGAAAACAACTCAAGCACTTGGAAATATGCATGATTGTACATGTATGAGCGATATACATGTACAGGTATACAGGATTTATCAGATAGGTATCAGTGCTTGTCGACTGCCATTTTCTGCCGAAAATGTAGATTTTGGAAAAAAAAAAAATACATGTGTACATGTATATGTAAGCGGTCAACTTTCGAAACACTGCCCAAATGCCATAAATTCTGATTGCAATACTTATAGGATATTTCCCACCACAAGCATGTATTTTTCAGCCCTGTAGGACACACCCATGATGCAGTATTTACTGCCATGTTGGGCTGTGCTCGCGGACCTAACTCGAGATCAACACAGTGCATCTACACAGACCTGTGTGACTACATGAGTGTGTAAACACCTTCAATCGTGGACCTATAACAATTGGAGACAATAGGGTCCACGGTTGCCGAAAAATCCACGGTTGGAAAACGTGTACAAAACATATGGAAGGTCTTCCGAAAAAGTTGAAGTATGAACAAAACAGGAACAATAGGGAGTCCACGATTGAAGGCATTTACACACTTGAGTGTGCAGGTGTGGCATACATGTACATAGTGTGGACCTCTGCACAAAAGAAGTCCACAGAATGTAGGGTATGACGCTGTTGGGTGAGGCGACGAAGGCACACTTGAAGTTGTGTCTTATCAGCCGTGTTGTATACCAGCTTTTCCCCAGTGAGTATTCTCAGTTGTGGACATTACTTGTACATGTCATCTCTGTCCAGTTTTCAACTTGTGGCGGTGTGATGTGACTTGCTTTTTTAAACTTCTGTGCAGCGCTCAGCATTTTTTTTGTTGATGTGCTGTAGTTTGAGAAGCTTTAAGTTTGCCTTTCAAGGGGGTGGCTTTTGTCTTTGCAAATGGGCTGGAAAGATTGTCTTCTGAGTAGAGTGTTTTTGAAAACATCCGAAATAGTTTAAGATTGTAGGTTCTTCGATTTCAACTGCTATGTAACACATTGAGTTTTGGTACTTTATAAAATGGATTGCTGCTACTACAAATACCTCGTAAACAGACTGGGAAAAATAAGCAACAGAATTCAAGAGAATTCAAGAAGGAAGAAGAGAAAATAGTATAAGGAGTTTTAGACGAGATTTGCCCCTATAGGCCACGAGACATTAAGGGGAAAACCTCGTATAAAGTCAACATCTCGTACACAAAGCAAAATTAACTTTGAATGCCATTGATATGAAGAGACCTTGGGGTGCAGAATTCCCTTTGTCTCAGTATTTTGGTATTGAGTTCTCTTTAAATCTGTCAAAGAAGAGCAAAAAGTTTGTACGGCATACAATTATATGGAGAATTTACTGTACACGTACGTTTACTTATATTTCAAATCTTCCATTTTTTTTTACAGTCACCAGTGCAGTTCTCTGGGTTTATGTCGTTTATGTGTTGGCTTCACAAAGGTAGATCTCACCAAATGTGAGCAAAGTTGCTTCAGGATTTTTTTTTTCTGAATTTTTGTTTGACCTCATATTTTCTTCAGAAATTTCCTTGTCGTGGAGTGAGTGCATTCCTGGAGCAACTAGGACCATAAAAATAGCGGCAAAAGTGCTCTTTTCAAAATTGGATTAACCTCATACAGGCTGCTTAAAATTTGTCCTTTTTCATGCCCATAATTTCGTCAACTCCTAGTGAAACCCGGTTTGAATTTGGAACAGTACGTAAGACTCCCATTGTGTGTAAGTTTGACTCAACTAAACCAATAGTTCAATAAACCGTTTGATTAGAAACAAATAGTGAAAATGTAATTTGTTTCCAATATACAACATCAGAAATAATTTTAAAAAGTCCCAATATATTGTTGTACATGTATGTGGTAATTTGAGGCTGTTTTTTCACGAAGAACGTTAAAATGTACACATTGTGCAAAGCACTTTAACGAGTGATTTAGTGTCACTGAAGAAGCTAATAGAGTGAATGATTTCTACAATGTGCTAAACGGTGTAGCGACCACGGTATGGGGGTGCAACACCCCACCCCCAATAACTAATTCCACTCAGCAAATAGAGCTTTGGTCTGCAAATGAATTCCATAGTACACTAAAGTCATAGTTGGTCGTCGACATTTTCCATGAAGCATGAAATGTACGCGTACCATGGATTTCCATTTTACATGACACAATCGAGGTTGGCGAACAATGTAGAAGTAGGCAAATTGACTTATTTGGCACGCCCTCAAAGCCTTCACTACGCGCCACTACGTGCAAAGTTGACATTTAATCACAAAAAAGAGATGTTCCTATTTGTAGACGTGCAAAATTAATGTAGGTTTAATTTAACACTTCTTTCATTTAAAATTGCTTAAGCGAAAGTTTAATTTCGTCAAGCAGGGGCACTCGCCCTCAATGTTGGTTCCATTTTCGAAATAACACCACTAGATTTCACTTTCAGAGCATTGCGAACGACGAACCATTTATCGTCATTCTCGTCTCACTCTGGGAATGGTGCTGAAGTTGAAAATGAAATTCGTTTTTTGTCATTTTACTGATTTAATCATCCAATTTTGTGATAAAATGAATCATAAGATGGTTTGAATTAGCGGTTATTTTGGCGTCATTTTTGTTGTGATTCAACTGAACTAAGAAAGGATAGGCCTGAACTCAGGCACAATAATTACATAACTCACTGTTATTTGACTTTCTCTTCTCTTGTTAATTAGATCAATTCATTCATTTTTGTCTTTATACAAAGCGTTGGCCCTTAAATCAGTAAAATGAGCTCGGACAAAAAACTAATTTGCTTTTTCAATTCAACGAATAAGTGTGTTTTTTCGTGAATTACAATGCTCTTAAATTGAAATCTAATGGTGTTGTTTTGAAAATGGAATCAACATTCAGTGTAACCCCTCTTTGACGAAATTAAACTTTCGTTTAATTAATTAAGCAATTTTAAATGAAAGACGTGCTAAATTACCAAGGAAACATCGTGGAATAGAGGCACATGTACATGTATCTCTTTTTCTAACAGAATTTATTTTTACTAAAGTTATCTCTATAAGGAATAGAGATATCTCTGTTTTGGGATAAATGTCAATTTTCACATCATACAATTCAATATAAGACTGTTCGCATGCATGACTCGAGTATGTTTTCTGTATCTTTCAACTATAGTGGGCTTGCGTACACAGAAAGAACAAAAGCTCTCTCATCGTTACTTTGCATACCTCTTAAGAGTTGAACAGGCACACAAGCCATCCTACGTACATGACGTATCGCTGCGGCAATAAAAGTCAAAGACGACAATACCCCAGCATCTCAACTTAAATCATAAGATATGACTTAATGGAAGTTGTATCCTCCAGGACTGCAGGTAAGTAAATACACCTGCGTGGACCAACCGTCACTGTTTGACGACGCCATCTCCAGACGACTACTAAGGGTGCAGACCACTAATTCAACTGAGAATTCCTGACCAGCTTAGCATTAAAAGTGCCCCCACAGTATCTTTTGAAAAAGGAGATTGTTTGGCCCCCAAAATGGTGAGATTGTGTAAATCGTTGCCAGGATCAACTCCCTGGGTCTTTGGGCTTTCATGTGAGGGCAGAAGGGCTGAAAACTACGGTTGAAAAAATGGTCCTAAGTGCCCGAGAAAGTTGAGGGTTGCCACTTGAAAAATGGCTGCAATCAGACTTCGGAGAAATCACTATTTGGGGGTGATTTTGTTTTGTGGGAATAATTAAAAATGTAATTGGTTAACCCACAAAAAATTGAAAAGAAATTNATGTTGGCGTGCATGCTATTGGGCCCTGAACGTTGCTGATTTTACAGTTTTCAATGGGGCTTGAATTTGTGGACTGGACCCCTAAAGAAAAACGCAATTACATAGAGCGCCCTCTCTATTATGAATAAAAATATTTCGGCCAAACACAACAGTGAGAAGGTCTTGACACCACAAATCTCTGCTATACTGAGCATTGTAACTTGTGGACTTGATGCTTTATAAAAAAGAAAGGTCAGTGGAAGCCACCAACAGGACGACCAGCTTTTGATTTGATAAACGGGCCCCTAGGGTTTTAATGGACTTCAAAACTGGAAGTGAGCTCGTATATTGGCCTATCGGGAGTCGACTGTTCATGATTGTACTGGTCTGAAACAACAGTGAAAAAGCGCCCTTCCCTGCTCACGTATATAAACTCGGCGAGCAGCAACCAACAAACAGATTAACTTGGTTGATAGTTCCTTTTTTGCGGACGGGGGATCAGAATGGGGATTCAAAAAACTTTGGCACTGTGGATCCTACTCTTGATTTTTGTCTTAGCACTAACTGTGTCTTTTCCGTACGTTAGTCCGATCTGGAAACGCCCGAGAATGGAAAACCCTGCACCGGCTGCTTATCAATATGGCAATTCAACAAACTGCAGGGGAAGGCTTGGTTCCATTGTTGGTCCCAACGCGAGGAAAGCAGTGAGCTTCACACACCAGGAAACCACCGCCCACTGGCCGTGGTGTTCCGGCCAACCTTTTATTGAGCTATCGAATGGGAGGAGCGAAAGATCAAGCTCTGACATCAAGGAAAAGTACTTCTTAACTGCTGTTTTGGTGGTTCGCATCTACGCCACTGACGTCTCTCATTTTACAATCAGAGAGATCGTGCAGTGGTTGCAGTATCTCAGTTACGCAGGTGTTGAGCACGTGTATGTCTACGACTCCTATCTCTACAAGAATGAATCTCAGAGAGAAAATCTTAATTGTTTCATCGAGACTGGTTTCGTGACCTACACCGACTGGAGTCACATGGCCATGCCAGAAGTGAGTGTCAAGAGAGGAAAGGCAACGCAGGAGCCCGCTTACCAGGACTGCCTGGACAGATTCGGCCGTCAGTTCAAGTGGCAGACAGCTATCGATATCGACGAGTACCCTTACAGCTCCAAGGATCAGGCACCGGGGTTCTTACACCGTGTTATCAAGAAAATCGCGCGAGAAAAAACTCAGAAGCTCGGCCAGATTTTCATGGAGAATTATTTGTTTCTGGGTAAGCCCCTGAATGACACTGAACATCCGCTCTTGATAGACCGTCTGTGGCGGATAACCAAGCAGAAATGGGAGTTCAGAAGGAGGAAACCAATATATCGTCCCGAAGCTGTACAGAAGGCAAGAATGCACCACAATATCCTACGCGAAGAATACCTGGAGTACTTCCCAAACAAACAATTATTGAGGATGAATCACTACCATGGAAATCGACACAAGGACTGGGGCGAAGCAAAGATCCTGAACATAACCGAAGAGGATTGGGGCATGAGAGTAGCCGCTACCGCCTTGCAGCATTGCATCGATGGATGTCACCTTGGATGCTGCTGAAAACCTCGTTTGAAAGCCTGATATTGATTTATCAAATTTCATACATTTAATGTACACTTTTTTCTCTCAGGTCCAGGGAGAGGCCAGGTTTCACTGTACATTGTGAGAAACGGTCGACAAATTTTCTTTG